ATCCGACTTGAGTGCTAAAGGAGTTAGGGTCCATGGGGCGGCTTCAAGCGCAATGACGCTGACCATGAGTCTGAACCTAGAAGGAGGCTCATATGTGTCAAAAGTCAATCACAAATCACAACGTTCACAGCCTACTCACTTTTTCATAGGTTTCACAGGTTCATAGGCAGTTTCTCATCGCACCTGAAAAACGGCGCCGCAATGTGGTCCACTCCCCAACTCACCTGGCGCCCCGATTTGAGGAGAAAGTGCTACAGCCACGTATGCTGCGAATGATAGGAATAGCAGTGCTCATTGCGGTTTAGAGAAGGCATTAGATCTGGCTGTGCTGAAGGCATTAGATCCCTTATCGCGCTAACAGTATCATTACCTCTGCGATGTTGGAGTCCTGCTGCCTCACTCGAGGAGGGGGTAACTTCCCATAATTTCCCTGAGTATCTTTTTTTCTAATTTTTTTTTCAATTTCCATGACCTATGGTTCCAATGCAACCCCCACCCCCTCCCACCATCCCCGCCCTCACAGCCCTACCTGCAAAGCCTATCACGAAAAGTACGCCAGAATGTTGCTTCCTTCTTCCAGAGAAAAGAGAAACAGTGATTTCATTTATCGAACACCACAGTTGCGCACGCCCATGCTCATATCTCTAAAAATACCCCACAAGTCGATTTTCCAGTTGGCACGAATTCAACCGATGTAGCCATGCTTCGTTAGATTTCATATATGCATCACATCATGAAGAACGGCGGAAGAACGCCATAAAACGGACTTTTTATGCTCAATAGACTTACAAGAACCATCACGCTCTTCGAACGCGAAGCAGCGTTCATAACCGAAATGGAAATTTCTAAGGATCCTCCGTTATTGAATAATTAGCTGGTAATGACGATTCGCAACTTTCATTATTCTGAGATCTAACTTTCTGAATCTCTTTCTCACAAATAACCATCCTAATCATCAAACTATCAGTCACCTTTTTTCCATAGATTATGCACAAAACCGTATACAATATTTTATACATGGAATGGCGACAACTTACAAACTTCAAAAAATATCACAGGTTCACGTCTAATACTATAACAAATTTAAAGCATTGAAAGCCGAAGAAAAAAATGATCAAAACGTTCCCGTCGAAAAAAAAAGAATCCCCTAAACACTATATAATTTTCCTCTTTTTTAAGTCATCCTGAGCTTCCTTAATCTCTTGTACTAGCTCCTCTTTAGCAGTTGGGCAATCGTTAAACGTCGCAACGCCATAGACCACTGATCCCAAAGCATAGATCTGTACAATGGATATTTTCAGCACAAAATTCATAGCTATCTCTGTCAAAAAAAGGCAGACGCAAATCCAAGAGAGCTACTCATCAGCTAACCCATAAAAAAATTATGTAGCAGCTACAGGCTGGAGCATTCTATTTGGCAGATGATCATCGTCGAGCTCAAGGAAGCAAAGCGGTCTTCTGAAGACTGTGGCTGTGAAGGAGGGAGATGGGTGGGTCGGGTAAATCTAAGGAATATTTCGCAGTGCGATTTCTACCAATGGCGGCGCTGTGCACGCTGACAGTTTGCTGGTGTCTGGCAGGCAAAAGATTGACTATCTCTCGCTCCTCCTCAAATACTTATCCACTCATTTAAAACGATGTCTTACCCATCTCTTTACTCACAATTTCGGATTTTGTCAGTGATCAGCAATTTTAAATAAGCACGTGCTTACGAGGAATCTAACAAGATGAAGCCAGAAGATGTTTAGCAATAACCACTAAAGTTGATCTCATAAGCCGGAACATTCTTATTGTACTTTACCAAACAAGAAAGCGAAGGTTAGAGAAGACATAAATAAACTCACTCCAAGAAGATCGTATAATCGGGGCTGAAATAAGCAGAATTATCAAACCTAGTTAAACGATAAGCAAGTGCAAGAAAAGATGCCATTTTAGAAACCACCTAATATGATATTTTTCCGTATAAAGCAGACTGCAAAAAATTTGGTAATCTCGGAAAATAATAATGGGAAAACGGCCAGGAGTAGTTAACAATTTTGCCTACATTAACATTCATGGCAGACTAAACTCTCTAACATAGCTTTCCCTCAAGTTCCTTCGTTACTGGCCACTTACACGCATGCCACTCATGTGTTCCTTCTCCAATCTAATCCTCCTCCTCGCCATCGCTTATTCCTCTACATTTATTCTTACATGTGCACATTGTGAATACTTTTTATTCCGTATCATCTCTTAATCACCTAACCTTGTGCAATAGCCATAAATAAATAATTAGATAAATAAATAAATAAATAAGTGACTAATGCTACGACCAGGGACTTTTGAGTCTGCTTTCTCTATAAAACTTCAGATACCATTACGACGATGTCTCGCACGAATAATCGGTGTTTTATTACATCTTTTGTACACTCATGAACTGTGGCGCGATTTCTAACCAGGAACAACAAATCCATAGCAATCCTTTGGCATTGAATTGCCTAGAACATGGGAAGGGCACCATCGGCATATATAATTCTTGGGCAACCAATAAAACAACACCTCTTTATTGTTCACCATCAATTTTCTTTCTTTGTGACTCACTCGCAATCTACTGCCCTTTTTTTAGCGATTCTGACACCACTATGTAATTATGTATTCGATAAACATGCTGAAAACAGTCCTCTTCGAGTTATACATAAGGATACGCAGCGAGAACTTTCGAAACGCGATGGAGTGGAACGGATCGAAAGATATAATGCACGTCAAACCTCGTGGTGGTTCATTAATGACGACATAGACCGTGGACTCGTACCTAGTGGATACAGGATCAACGGGCTCACCGGGAAGGAGGGTCACCTCTGGCTCTATAGCAACCTCATGAACAACAAACTGTTCAATTTGCAACACTTGCAATGAAATTCAATATCATATGCTACCTATTTACTCCCACCTGTCATCACATTACTAGAAAATACGTGTCTTGTCCTGACTACAGATTCATTGCAGTAATACCACGCGCGAGAAGATTGACGTTAAACTGGCCTGGGGCCGGGGGCAGCAAGCTCCAACTCCCGAGGTTGGGGATATGTCCCAAGGTTGGGTATATATCCCCAACGAGAGTGAGGGATGTGTTCCCAACCTTGGGGATATGATGGGTCCTTGACAAAACCGGGATATATCCCCAAGGTTGGTGTACGGATACTTGAATTTTCTTGCCATGTTCGGCCACAATTGCGAGGCACGCCAGTTGGAGAAGCGGCTCCAATCCAGGGGAAGGAGGTGAGGCCCTATTTCCTAGCCTTGTATGCAAAGGACTCCGAGTGAGGAGCACCTACTGTGTGGCAAAGTTTGGATGTGTGAGATCACAATGATCAAGAGCCGCTGATAAGGAAACCACTGAACTTTCCAATATAGCTTTGTTGGCCACAAAAGCATGCCCATTTCAATGGCAAATAAAGGAAAGACAACCTACATAGAATACAATGTGACGGAAAACAGTCGCAGTCGGGAGCAATCTTCTTGAGAGGAATGAAATTCGTGACACAAGCCAGCCACAGCAAACCGCGGTAGACGTGCCAGCAATATAGACGCCTCGCGACACCATTGTGTGTTCCTACACACCTGTCGTTTATTTTTTTTTTTATAAAAATGAAAAAAAAAAAAAAAAAAAAAAAAAAAAAAAAAAAAAAAAAAAAAAAAAAAAAAAAAAAAAAAAAAAAAAAAAAAAAAAAAAAAAAAAAAAAAAAAAAAAAAAAAAAAAAAAAAAAAAAAAAAAAATAAAAAATTTAAAAAGAAGAAACCAAACGGCCGCTATGTGCCTCGGGGGGGCAGTCACCGCGCGCGGCTGTGCGGCAACAGGAAATTCGAACATTCCAGCTTCTCACGCATGTCATGTGCCCTCACCGTCATGTGACTGCCCTCACCCCCAACCCCCCTGAATTGGCTACACTCCCCCTGGCTCACGAATTTCCTGTTGCCGCACGAGCGCGCGCGGCGACTGCCCCCCCCCCGAGGCACATTGCGCCGAAGGTCAACTTTGTATAAAAAGCTTGAATGAAAGCCGTCTTCGAAAAACCCCAACCCCCCACTCAGAATCCATTGGTCTTGCAGTTAGTGATAACCAAAAAAATAAACCACTGGGTTGCTATTCCCCAGCATACAATTCGAGTTGAAATACTGTCAGTTTGCTAGAGTTGTTTCAGGAAATACAATATCTAAATCTTTGCAATGAACAAGTTCAGGCAAGCTTCGACAACAAAGGAAAAGCAGTGTTCATGAAAACATCTGCGAAGGAAAGTGAAAGGATCATGGACAAATAACAACTTGTGCTCCAATGAGAATTTTAGATGCGCAGGTCTGCCCTCGCTAGCTACTGTGAGTGGTGGCGCATTTTCTTTGATTCGTTTTCTGGCCTAAATTTGGTTACCGAGTATGGTGTTTTGTTGTCGTTTTTGTATATTTAAGAGAACTTCTGTGTCAATCTCGAGTTAGAATGACGTTCTCACGAGTTGCATATTTGAGTGTTGCGTATACATTTTCGCTCTTGCTTGGTTTCTTGGAGATTTTGATCGTTGCTGTTTTGAGGTAACCATGGGAAAGCCCAAGGGAATTCGTACGGCTCGTAAGCTTAAAATCCACCGTCAGTCACAGAGATGGTGCGACAAAGCTTACAAGAAGGCTCATCTTGGAACTCGATGGAAGTCCAACCCATTCGGTGGCGCCTCTCACGCCAAGGGAATCGTTCTCGAGAAGATGTAAGTTTTTCTACGCGAAATCGTCTATCAATGTTTAAATATTGATGCTCATCAAAAGCACTGGTTTCTGCTAGCATCTCTAGCTTTGCCAGCCGTCAAATTGAGCTAGAACGATTGATGCGTAGCTTTGGGTGAGGTGGTTGTGCAATTTGCATCCGTCTCAATTGCACGCATACAGTTAATTTTGCTTTCCCTCACTTAGTTTGCCATCTTTTTCGGAAGGGCTTTTCCGTAATATCGATAATTTCAGTGGTGTTGAGGCTAAACAGCCTAACTCAGCCATTCGCAAGTGTGTCCGTGTGCAGCTCATCAAGAATGGAAAGAAGATCACTGCTTTCGTACCTAATGATGGTTGCTTGAACTTCGTAGAGGTCTGTTATTTGTACCTTTTCTGAATTATATGGATAATTTGTCCGAATCGTTACTTGTGAATTAGTATTAGTATTGATTACGTGACTACTTGAACTCTCCCCTATGTTCTCTGCCGAGAAAGGCCAGAGCACAGACGATTAGAGAACGGTGCCTGGCTCGGCCAAATCCCAACCAAGAAGGTGAGAGCTCTAGGACTAAGCCTTGAAGGGAGGAGGGACTCCCGTAGGGATTGGATTAGGGAGGGAGATGTAACCAAAACAGATTATTCCTTTTTGAAATGTCTACGGTCGAGAGGAAGTTGCATTTAAAAGATTTTAGCGATGGTAGGAAGCTTCTCCTTCTTTTGCAATAATGTTGGTGGGTGAACAGCATCCAACTTATTTTGATGTCAGCAAATTTTTAGGTAAGTGGTCCCCCCCCCCACACTCCCTGCCTTTCGGTATTGCGCTGCATCTAAATACCTGGCATTTGCTAGCATGGCTATATGCTCTTCGAAAAGCCCGTGATATCATTCCTTTTCTTATTGTTCTCTAACATGTCTAGCGGCACAATAGCTTCGAATGGTTTAGGTTTTGCCAAGATGGTGGTTTACTTATTCCCCCCCCCCCAAGGCTGCCGCATCCTTTTGCAGACGGATACAGTGTGTATTCGGGAAGCACCCTTTCGAGTGTTCGAAATTCAGTGTCACCGCATGGCCTAGAGGAGCAGTCGAAGAACTTTGCGCTGCCGCGTGCTCCTCCCTCAAATTAAGTTCCTACCTTCTTTCGAAGTGATGAATACGCCCCCGAAGCTCTTGGCATCGCTTCGTACCTGAGGCGCATTTTTAGTTAAATAAAGTTGTGCGTCTTGGTTAATCCTCACTTGGAGCAAACTGTGGTGCGAGTTGATGTTTCCGTAGGATTCTTAAAGCTCATCAAAAGCACTGGTGTTTGCTAGCATTTCTAGCTTTGCCAGCCGTCAAATTGAGCGAAAAAGTAGCAGTGAACTTTTTTGGGTGAGGTGGGTGCGTAAATAGCGCCCGTCTCAATAAAGTTTGCACATTTATCAAAAGTATTCGGGAAGCACCCTTTCGAGTGTTCGAAATTCAGTGTCACCGCATGGTCTAGAGGTGCAGTCGAAGAACTTTGCGTTGCCGCGTGCTCCTCCCTCAAATTAAGTTCCTACCTTCTTTCGAAGTGATGAATACGCCCCCGAAGCTCTTGGCATCGCTTCGTACCTGAGGCGCATTTTTAGTTAAATAAAGTTGTGCTCCCGAGTTGGCTTCGGTCTTGGTTCATCCTCACTTGGTGCAAATGTGGTGCTGGAGTGTGCTGGAGTTATGTTTCCATAGGTTTCTTAAAGCTCATCAAAAGCACTGGTGTTTGCTAGCATTTCTAGCTTTGCCAGCCGTCAAATTGAGCGAAAAAGTAGCAGTGAACTTTTTTGGGTGAGGTGGGTGCGTAAATAGCGCCCGTCTCAATAAAGTTTGCACATTTATCAAAGTCAAGTTTAATCGTTATACGTGCCCAAAGTTTCTACATTGCATGTGCTTTGGTTTTTGTAGGAGAACGACGAGGTGCTCGTATCTGGTTTCGGACGATCTGGTCACGCTGTCGGAGATATTCCCGGTGTTCGCTTCAAGATTGTCAAAGTCGCCAACACATCGCTTTCTGCCCTTTTCAAAGGCAAGAAGGAAAGACCACGTTCTTAAACGGCTTTCGTTATTGTTATGTCTCTATCATAAATTTTGTTAAATAGTAATATACTTGTACAGCGAGTTTCCACATTTCGTTATATGACTTATCACTTGTATATAAATGGTTAGGAGTTTAAGGAACCATTGTTTTGCGAAGTCTGCGTTTTCATTCAGAGTGCGAAGGGTTTCTGAGTGGTCTAGATTCTGTGAACCACAAAAATATGCAAACACATAGTAAAAAAAAATCTGTGGTCATCGAATATGCACATAGCCATCAAACAGACACATTTTAATGTTTGTTCCGTCATTGCTCGTAGCATGACTTCCATAGTTGATCATACAGCGGTAGCTTCAATTTAGTGGTTGAATGGAGCCGAGAATGATTCCGTGGTTTTGATGTATGCGTACGTTGGTGATGACGTATGTATGCACGAAAACGCGGAATAGTGGTTGTCTCGGTCGTACGGTGCGCAGACACTGGCTTGAATCGGGTGGCTCTCCTGATGATAGGTTGAAAACGCTGAGGCTTTCACATTTTCAGAGACCTTTGGCAATTGTTTGTCTGTTCAGTAGGGTTTGAATTCGATCCAACTCTCGATGAGTTGCAAAGACGGAATGTTACCTAACTAGCTTCTGCTCTTGCTTGTGCGCTTTGATGAACAACGGCTGAGCAGGGTTGAAGTGATGGTAATAGCCAGTTGGCGTTCGGTTGACACACTAGAATTATAAGTGTGAGGAAAAGTGTGGCTGATACCTTGAAAGGAATGGCTAAAATTTCTGAAGATTTGTGCGTGGATATTGGTAGAGTGTCCACTACACCACCGATCGCTCCAAGGCCTTCTCTTTCCGATGGCAGTATACAACGTTCGAATTCTAGGTCGACTCGCGCGTTGG